CTAGTTGACCACTGATTAAATAAACTACCTCGTCTTTATGTCAACTTGCAGTTATTCATTGCCTACATCAGTGACTTCAAAATATATGTTTCAATCCCATGAATTTCACTCGCTGTTAATTGCATGGGAGTGCCAGTCTTTAATGAATTTCTATTGTCATGTCAATTTCTTGCGATTACTTGGAACATTAAGCTGTAACCACATACCGCCTAGGTGCTGTAATTAAATCCTGGTGTAAGCACCATATGAACTATGAACAATGCATGTGAAGCCAGCTGTGGGGTATATTCAATCCTATAGATTTCTCATTGTTTGGTAACTATTTGCTGCAAATGCAACAAAAATCAATATAAAAAATATTACCCACACAGTATTCTACAGGTTACTTGTTATATGAGTAGTAGGGGAATGTACCGGCGACTGACTAACTATGCCGATCCTATGTCATTTTTTATTATCCTAAAAACGTTCCGAGCGCCTGTGGTAGAGTGCAGCTCAGCGACGACCGCTGTCGACGAAAGTCACCCCGTCAGTGGAGTACCGCAGTTGAACGGCATGTTTGCCAATGCACAATTCTGTGGAGGAACTTTTAACTTCAACATAAATTTAAACTACTATGATTGATTCGAAACGTTCCATCGAGATCGGACGGCGGCCTATCTGCACCCTTCACTATTGTATTCAAACGAATCACGTGGTGTGTCGTTCTCCTTCAAACCCGGGATTCAATCAATAGGGGAGTTTCAGTATAAGAAAAAACATCGCAAATCATGCAAATTCAACATTTTCAAACCAGTATACTAAAACAGAAATGCTCATAGATGCAAAAGAAGGATATATATTACTTTTCAGTATACACATCTCTGTTGATACTATCCCTCACATATTCTACTCCCAATTATTCCTGCGTAAAATTGAATAGCCTCTTTCCATGTTGACATTTTGAGTAAAATCACGTGACAGGCTGTTAAAATTGGCTGTTACATACTCTTCCGCCGGTCTGGAAAAATGTTTATTAGCTCTCATTCAAGCAACAATGCAGATTTCCCAGTGGGAGTGAAACAGTTCGACTCTACCATTACAAAATAGGGGTGTTTTCAGCAAAAAGCGAATAACCCTGGAGTGCACAAAACACACTTAATTTCGCAACAAATTTTGCATTAGTTACAGTAGCAGAATACAACAGAAATATCAGACGTTACATGAAAACACTATATATTGTATTTCGGCCCGAACCCTCTCTATTGTAATTCCAGGAATTACCCCCATAAGTGCATCCATTTTCCACCTTGGTATCACCCAGCCCTGCTAACAAACTCTTAATACCACGCTGAAGCGTTTGGTAATAAGACTGTAGCCTAAGGTTGTAACCCAAGTAAAAAAAACGTTCGTTGAAATATTGATATTCATTAAGCTTTTGGGATGACGTGCTTTCAATAAGCGTGTCCATAGGCCTTGATTACTGCGTTCCATTTGCCTATGAATAAAGAATGACACCTTGACGACCATAACAAATATCAAAGTATTGATCAGAAATTTTATAGAAAAAGCTGAGATTATCATTGCCTTATTTACCATTATGTACCACGTGTTACGTAGTTATTAAAAGATAACCTGGCAGTACCAAGTATTCTTTTCCTCTCTTTCATCCTACAGCTAAGATTGGTATTATGCGGCTATTCATAACAAAGTTCACGAAATGAACTAACTGCGGCAGTCACAATTGAGTCAATCAATAGCATTGCCATAAAACAGCAGTCTTTACCATTCAGGCACAGCATGAATCGTCTCGCACCGACAGATTCGGTAAGTTTTTAAGTGAGGTATATTCATTTCACCGTTAAACGTTGAATACTTATTGCTGTTTTGAACATTACTAATATATACTGAAAGAGTTATTAGTTCCACTATGGCAATCAAAGGTGTGGCTGTCGGGGGTAATGACCGACGTAAATTCACAAATGAAAAAAATCCAGTTGCTAAAGCATATCTGGTAAAGCAAACGTGCAATTAAAATATATCTCATGTACTCAGGAAAACACAAATCAGCAGTCGCGTGTTTCAAGGATGGCAAAGTATGTCATTGGACTCGCAACGTTGACAGTGATTGGTTCAGGTGCAGCTATTGGTGGTGGTTTGTTGTTGGGTACAAAATCATCAGGTAAGTTAGTATATGTGGAGTTGATTGTTGTATACACCGGAAGGTACATGTATGAGGTGATGGGGCGTATTTGTGAACGACTAAACTTTGAAAATCTTGTATGGTGAAATTGCGTTCCTGAAAATGTGTACATATTTAATTAAATTGAAATAAACTTAAATTTTGTTGCCAAAGTTAGGATTTACATAGAACTAATTTACTGTTTATTTATAACTATACTAATATATAACACTATTACGCCAATAAAACACCTTTGTCTAGATTTGTTTTCACCATGTTTAATATATGCAACATTACGATGTATATAATACACTATAAATTTAGGTCTGACAGAGTTCCAGTTTTAAATTAGTTAGTCACATATGGGGATGGAAATGATATCAATTGTACAGGAATGACAATGAGTATCATTTTTTTAAACAATGCAAAACAAATCCAACCTCACAGGTTATCGAGGGATATGCTATACGCCAATCTGTAACTAAGACATGTTTAGTACACTTCCCAGAGCAATACGATCAGAATTCTTAAAATCTTTAATAATATTAACAATGGAAGAAAGTCTTTATACTTTGCTAATGGCTAAAAAAACTGTTTGACCCATAGAAGCAGAGCTTCCAAGCTCTTTAAAATTAAGCTGTTAATTTCAGCTTGCAGATACATATGATTGTAGGCTGTATTGCTTGGCAACCAATATACACAGATACGCAATTGCAAATTAATTAGCATGTCTATGGTCAGAATAGACATAACTTTCATGCATTATTTTCATTGAGTTACCTAAATTGATTTGAACCAAGAAATACACCATCAACATTTCCTCCATTCATTACAAAATAATACTGGAAAAAATGTGGTATATGGTTGCTTAGTACATAGATGTTTTTACAGACGCAGCCAGTGATACATTTCGAAAATAAAAATACAAAATAAACGCAATCAGAGGCGCCGACCACGCGCGTTGCAAATAAATAGAACGCGTTGTGACACAGTCTCACCAGCTCCTTTCACTCACGCAATATAATTATGCTATTTCCTAACGCACTTATATATAATACATTGACGAAAAACACCACAAGAAAAATGTAAATCAGGCTTGTAATTACTAGTAACTCAACTCGAACGCAATATTCATCACTGTAAAAGTGGATAAATTCAAACCAGCCAGCTCATGACCGAAGACGTCCGGTCGTCTTCGTTGATATCCTCGCTAACTCATCATAATCGTGGTGGTGAACTGTTCAGCTGATTTTTCAAAAGATGGATATTCAATTCATATTCATCCCAACTTATTTGAATATTCTGTCGGAAATGCGAGACATTGTTCAAACAATTCTCTACAGGGATATGTCTGATGTCAACTAGTAATACGCAATTATCCAGGCAGTACTAGAAATTATTGCTGATACTAATCATGTTTTGTATTGAGAAGTTGGATACTTGAACGTGTAGTCCCCGGGCGTGTAGTAGACGAGCATAATCGTACTGTCACATGTTTTTCGTCTTAGCCTTGTATTTTCGTCTTAACCGTCGCAGTCCGCTTCATTGGATGTTTAGTTTGATAATTGATAAATGTGCTGTACACAAGTTTATTTAGAATTTCAATTGTTATCGTTATTTCGTGATTCGTCGAAACAGAAAGGCTGCTAATAGCACCACCTACGCATGTAGAGTGCGCCATCACAGGTCATGTTAGAATCGCGCTAAAACGTTTGTTTATGACAGGCAGCCATGATGAAAAGCTACGAGCACATTTATATGCAGCGTCTACTGAACCTTTCAACCGAAATACTGCTTTAGAGACCCAACGATGCAAGTCTATAATCTTCTGAACGTTTATTTGAGACCTGTATGTTATATTGTGTTACTGGAACTGTGTGATACTTCTACAGTCATTCATAAAGTGAGATCGTTGCCTCATGGTTACAAATAGTTTCACAGTTACTTTCACAGTGTCTGTATTGCTTTTATGTTATAGAATTCACCGTGTTTTAAATAAATCTGACCTAAACCGACGCACTGGAGGGATGATTATTTGAGCATGGTTGACACTAGTATGGGTATGATAGACGCAGTTTGACTACAGAACAATGAACATATATTCAGTGTGAGACTGTTGCTTTCAGGTTGTGTTAATACAAATATGATTTAAACTTGTCTCTTCCGTTGTCAACGTATTCAATATACGGAAATAGCATGTGTGTGTGCGTTTGCGTGAGTGAAATATGCGGGTGAGATTTCTCGTCGCAACGCGTTCTATTTATTTCCAACGCGCGTGGTCGGCGCCTCTGATTGCGTTTATTTTGTATTTTTATTTTCGAAATGTATCACTGGCTGCGTCTGTAAAAACATCTATGTACTAAGCACCATATACCACATTTTTTCCAGTATTATTTTGTAATGAATGGAGGAAATGTTGATGGTGTATTTCTTGGTTCAAATCAATTTAGGTAACTCAATGAAAATAATGCATGAAAGTTATGTCTATTCTGACCATAGACATGCTAATTAATTTACAATTGCGTATCTGTGTATATTGGTTGCCAAGCAATACAGCCTACAATCATATGTATCTGCAAGCTGAAATCAACAGCTTAATTTTAAAGAGCTTGGAAGCTCTGCTTCTATGGGTCAAACAGTTTTTTTTAGCCATTAGCAAAGTATAAAGACTTTCTTCCATTGTTAATATTATTAACGATTTTAAGAATTCTGACCGTATTGCTCTGGGAAGTGAACTAAACATGTCTTAGTTACAGATTGGCGTATAGCATATCCCTCGATAACCTGTGAGGTCGGATTTGTTTTGCATTGTTTAAAAAAATGATACTCATTGTCATTCCTGTACAATTGAGATCATTTCCATCCCCATATGTGACTAACTAATTTAAAACTGGAACTCTGTCAGACCTAAATTTATAGTGTATTATATACATCGTAATGTTGCATATATTAAACATGGTGAAAACAAATCTAGACAAAGGTGTTTTATTGGCGTAAAAGTGTTATATATTAGTATAGTTATAAATGAACAGTAAATTAGTTCTATGTAAATCCTAACTTTGGCAACAAAATTTCAGTTTATTCAATTTAATTAAATATGTACACATTTTCAGGAACGCAATTTCACCATACAAGATTTTCAAAGTTTAGTCGTTCACAAATACGCCCCATC